TTTTGCCTTATAAATGAACTTAAACAAATTCTCACCAGAGAGACAGCCGAAGCCTAAACTTGACAATTTATATTTCAACTTCCTAGGACCTTTCAGATCTCCTTGATGTAGTGGGCGTAAAATACGTTCAGTTTGGAGTTCATTCGCTACAATTTATATACAGTCGCCTGAATTGCATGCAGCGAGCCAGCAAAGTCTGGCACCAGCTGCAGAGACTGATGCATTAGAACGAATCAATCTCCAGGCAGTAGCTTGGGAGTGGAAGAGAATAATTGAGTGTCGTCTTCTAAGAGGAAAGATCGGCGGGAGACCTCGTACGACAACGACGGTTGGGAGGCAGAAGAATTGAATGCCCTCGAGCGATGCTTGGTCGATAAATCGACAAATGAGCCTATGGCCGCAGGTCACTTTTAACGCACGTGCCCTTGGCCGTTGAAAGTTTCTTTTATCTCAGTAACATCGAGGACGATACATCAACTGGCATTTGATGGCTCATTCGTGCAGGAGGAGATTTCGTGAGTTTAAGCGGTCGATACGCGAGGACGAGAACTCTTAACTTCTGAACGTCGAGGTCTCTTCGCATAATTTGCGTACCTCTGCATTCGTAAAGTTTTTATTTATATTAGATAATAGTTTACAAATTGCCGCTATCTCGCTAATGATCACATCCTGCCATGCAATACATGCACATCGAGTACATAACTTTAGAGGTCAGTCGCTGCGATTTATACACATCAAATTTATATATAAAACAAAATTTCTTTATTCAGTTATTTGGATCGGTCATAACGCTCACAAGTCACGATTCATGATTATATTTTATAAAGAAAGACTAATTCAATAAAATGACGCACAACTTCAACTCTACACGTTTTTTTTTAATTCATTGGATTTTTTAGTTTCGAAAAAAAAAATGTTATGTCATGAAGGCTAACTGTCCTAGGTCAAGGTGGCCGCTTGACACGCTCATTACAAGCCTGTCATTGTAATGGGGGTCACGTACATATTACGTCTACACAAATTTGCCGACTCCCGATCAATGTTGCAGTCGCTCCATGACAAAGGGTCAGGGTCGGGCCGAAGTAACATCAGATGAGGTCACCCGGCCTGACTTTTGAATTTCATGCCATTATTTTGTGCGCGACCTGATGCATGGAAAGATTGTGTCCTCGTCCAAATTTGATACGGCATCACAGATTTGTGTCATCCTAGATCGATGTTGCAATCGGTCAATAGCATTGCATGGGTCAGGGCATTTGACTACCTCAGTCGACTTCGTGGGTCACCGCATTGCCCAGGTTCATATGATGAATGACTGACAAGGTGGTTATTTGCTATCGATCTGCAGTTGTTGAACGTTGACACAATCGTTCATTACGGCCTACTAGAGATGGAGACTCAGGGAACATGTAGAGATTTCAAGTCCGAAAGAATGAAAAACGTCCACAGCGATTCTACTGACGGACCAGTGATTAGGACAATTTAGTTGCACCCGAAAATTGGAAAAAAATTGAAAAGTGGAAAAGTCCATCCCTGATCATCAATGCCAAAAATAAAATCTTATTTGTGGGAACGTAAAAGTAATTATTGGGGTGAAATGTCCTTTTGAGTGAGAAGGTAAAGTGTGAATTCAAATACGGTAACCAAGCAACACAAGAGTTAAATGGGAATATAAGATAAATGTGTGAACAACTTATATGTAGCGGACAGATTGAGAGCATGTGGCTTCTGAATTTTCGTATTTGTTCGAGTATCATTGTGCTAGCAGCCAATGAAGTAAAGCATTTTACCAATACTCGATGAAATAGATCACGTCAGCCAGCCAGTAGCGCGACACATTTTACAAAGAAATACGTAGTTGATGGCTCAGTTGATGATGGAAAATACACATTTTACAAAGAAATAACGGATATATTGAGAGCATGTGGCTCTGAATTTTCGTATATGTTCGATTTATGGGAAAAAGGAATTGCGAAAAAAGAATTTCTCACACGTCGAGGTTTTGCTTCGCATATTGTCTCATTTCCAAGACGAGTCTTGAATAAAAATTTCGTCAATTGTTAGGTTAAGTGTAAAATTGTTCAATTAACTGTCCTGCGTTCGATTTATTAGCATTTGAGCGTCAATTCAATCAGTCGTTTAAATAGAGTTCCATGCTTTTCTACCGATCTTCAAATTAGTATTAGTCTAAAAATTTCAACTTTAGGTATACCAGTATAACAAAATTACAATAAATTTATAAAGTTGTCTAGATTTTGATTGTTGTTTGGAGCCAAAGTGTAGAATAACTTGCGAATAATCAAGCGTACGTGAAAAATGTGAATCATAAGAGGCATGCAATAATAAAGATTAAAAATGCATCAGGCAGATTGGATGCATATAACCAAAGGACCAACAGCACGAAAAACTGTAAAAACTGCGGTACAAAGGAAGACAAAGAACACTTTACTCATAACATTCGCACTATCATCAAAAACTGGACGATTTTAATACACGTCAAACAACACAGCACGAAGCTAGATAAATAATTGCTACGAATGTGTCATATCTCCTAAACTAAAAGATACGGGTAATGAGCCCTCAGCAATAGATATAATTCTGAGATTGAATTGCATCCAATAAATAGGGTAAGAATCCTGCCAGTCGTATGGGAGGTTACAGCTATCGTCTCATGTCCAAGAACTCGGCAAAGGCAATCCGACCGATTCTTTCAGGAAACCAAATTATAGTTGAGAGTTGTTGAGGAAAATTACAATTGACAATGTAAAATTTTGAATTTAAAATATCTCAATCAGGTGTTTAAATGACGAAATAGAGCAGGGACCAAATTATAGTTGGGGGTTGTTGAGGAAAATTAAAATCACCAATATAAAATTTGAAATTTAAAATATCTCAATCAAGTGTTTAAATGACAAATAGAGCAGGGTTTATCAAGAATCTTGAGTTCTAGATCGTTAAAGCGCATTTATTAGATTCAAAAGTACAAGATTTTTCCAAAAAATGCGTGAGCTCCAACCCTAACAGAATTTAGAGTCGCCCTAGCTTCTGGTAATCCACATTAGAAGCTGCCGCGTCTGTAAATTTAGAGTCGCCCCAGCTTCTGGTAATCCACATTAGAAGCTGCCGCGTCTGTAAATTTAGAGTCGCCCGAGCTTCTGGTAATCCAAATCAGAAGCTGCCGCGTCTGTAAATTTTATATAATTCTAAGATTCAATTGCATCCAATAAATAGGGTAAGAATCCTGCCAGTCGTATGGGAGGTTACAGCTATCGTCTCATGTCCAAGAACTCTGCAAAGGCAATCCGACCGATTCTTCAGCAGGAAACCAAATTATAGATGGGATCTGCTTCAAGTTGTTGAGGAAAATTAAAATTGACAATATAGAATTGGGATTTAAAATTTCGAAATACCTAAAATTTTAATTTTGAGGAAATTTAATATGTATCATCGTTTGTATGTATCATTGAATATAAACATGAATATTGAATATGCGTCATTGAATATGTCACACAGCGGCTTATCAAGAATTCAGAGTTACCGAACTTTAAGAAGCATTTATTAGATTCAAAAGTAAAAGATTTTTCCGGGCAATGCATGAGCTCCAAGGACGGGAATGAGAGGTCGTGGTAATGCCAGAGTCGAGGACCTGATGCATGAGCGCTCTAATGACCAGCGTTGCAGTGGGCACATAAAGCTCGCTAGAGTGGTTATAATTCATGGTCACGTCTAGAACTTTTGTAGTACAGCCCAAGAAAGCTGATATCAATTCCTTTGTGCTTCTATGGTTTATTATAAGTATTCTATTTCGTTTTATAAATGGTTTATTATACTTTAAAAGAAAAAATTAGAATGATTTTGTTTGTGTGCATGAAAACGTATCTTCAAGCATTAACATGATAAAGTACGTAATGCAGAAGAACTTTCTAACTGCACCCAGTGCAAAGCTGATCTATAATCAAATAAAACAAGTCTAATCGTACCTCAGTAGAACTAAGACGCGTCTACCTCACCAGGCCTCAAGTAGACAAAGGCAGTTTCAGCCTCCACAGCAATGTCGTTTTGGATATTATTGCCTGATATTAGCAAATTGTGTGATCCGTGAGACAAATATCACGTGATATAAGCGATTTTTATATAGCTAGAGTAAATAAATATCGGGAAATTTATAGAATTTATAAGTTATAACAGCTTTGTAAAAATGCATATATTGAGATGCTAGATTTGTTGTTGTATAAATATGGCTACTTTTATCTTTATTTGAATACAAATGTCAAAGCCGTTGTTCTGAACTGACACATTCAAGTCATAATTGAAGCAGGGCACTAATTGACTAAGTGAAATGTATCATAATTATGGGCAATCTTAACTGCCTGGGACTGGAATTATACATTTTTTTCATTGATCTTAGCCTTGAGTTTGAAAATAATGAACCTAAACTGGAATGAGGCCTGATGTTGAAGTCTACTACTGGAGGGCAGTCAGTGTATCATGCTGGTAACAATGACGGCCTGGCGCAGAGTTCTCAAAAAATTAGTTTGCTTGGATCACGATCTTTTAAAACTCAATTTACAATACGAAAACTTGATTTATTTCCTATTTTCCCACTGAAGTCCGCAACTTCAATTCATACTTCGAGGAAACACAACTTTTACATTTTTATGATTAATGCCTTCTGAATGAAGATGGCCCAAGTTACAAATGGAGGAACATTACAACAGTTAAAATTTACCTGTATCAGGATTGATGATATCACAACTAATTTTTGAGAACCCGAGCAAAGACATGTAGCAGTTCTCGCACCAGCCCTGACACCGCCCCTACACCGACAGCCCTCAGCAGCACCCTGACAAAATTTAGAGTCGCCCCAGCTTCTGGTAGGTAATCCAAATCAGAAGCTGCCGCGTCTGTAAATTTTCACTGGGCAGAAGCGTCTTATAGCGGCACGTGTTAACACTACTCACGTTGGGCACAAGCTGATCAGTCGAACAAACGCGGGTCACCTTATTTTTATTCAGGTGTTTCTTGACGAAATGTTCCACTGGAGCGTTTATCTTCATGAAGCTGCAGTACAGGATGTAGATGATGAACATAGCAAGAGCTTCATACCAGTAGATTTTGCTGTCCGTGAAGAAGTACACGAGCATGAGCAGCGCTACACTGTAGAAGGTCACGTCGCGAAACAGCGGCCACCACGTCAACTCAAGAACAGTTCGAGAGAACAATACGCACATGGCAATAACGAAAAGAATATTGAATACGGCAGAGCCCACGATCGTACCGATACCAACGTCATTAAAACTAATAAATACGCCAATGACTGAAGTAAAAAGTTCAGGGGCGGAGCCGCCGGCGGCCATGAACGTTGCCCCGGCCACATCTTCTGATATCCCAAGTTTCTCGATGATGACGTCGAGAGCTGGTACGAAAAACTCATCACATACCATGGCCAGGGCGACGAACATGTATACCATGCCCAGCACGTGCAGTATGATCGCCCCCTTCTTGAGCTGATCCTCGGTGAACAAGTCTGGCGGGAAGAGAGGGTCTTCAGCCGAAGTTTCATTGCCCGTGTCGTTGACGGGAACAGAATCCTGCAGTAGCGAACGTCTTATTCTTGGCTTGTAGACAAAGGGATCTGAAGGCAAGGGATCCTGAAGGAAGAGGCATACAAGTACAACCCCAAGCAGGGGGATGAGGATCCCCACGGCCTGGAGGGGGCCATACCAGCGGCGACGACGGCTTCTCGCCACCACAGCACGGGCTGTAAACGCTTCTCTCATGTCGTCTGCTTTGTTTTGTTCTTCTTCTACTTCAGCTGCTTCTTCAGTGTCTGCTCACTGGGATGGTAGCTGCGCACTGCCGCTCCGCAGTGCCATACCTGCAATAGAAAAAGAAATATTACTCAGTACTCACTGTAGTGAGTGGCAGAGAGCGCATTTTCTCGTCGACGAAAACGTGAAGTTACGGATGGACAGACAGACAGACGGACGGACGGACAGGGCGAGCACAATAGTGCATTTATTCCATAAATGAGAAAATGCGCTAAGAACCCGTTATATTGGCATCACAAGAACAATTTGCAATTTTACAACAAAAGAGTTTGTAATAAATTGAATACCGTCAAGAATTGTTAAGTGAAAACAATAGTTATTCAGCAAATGTCGTGTCAATGAAGCTTGAGTAGAACGTTCATGATTTTAAGGGACGCATTCATTCTTACATCAATTCATTGATGGCAGGTAGGAGAGCACTGAGAAAAATCAGTAAATCGTCTATAACCCAACCATACAACCACTGTAATCCGACTAAAAAAATTCGATAAACAAAGGAAAACCAAACCAAAATGAGCATGAAAAACCAAATGTCCATAACAATCCATAAGAAATATTAGTGACGAAACTATACTAGCTTTCATGGCATGAGGTAAATACATCAGCCGAAAAGCGTGCAGACGAGTCTACCCAGTGAAAATTTACAGACGCGGCAGCTTCTGATTTGGAGAAGCTGGGGCGACTCTAAATTTTGTTAGGGTATGCTCAGTATAGATAAAAGGCGATACAGCAACCGTCCTACACACGCACCATGAAGGCCAAGCAGCACGAAACTGACCGCGGTGACATCGTTTTGGAAGGCAAAACGATTGTGATATCTTAAAGTATTGATGCTATCGATTTTCAAACAAAACCTGCCAAATTTAGAAGTGGAACTTGAATTTACGAACATTATGTAAATTGAGATCACATTGAGAGTTTTCAGAATGCGCCCTCTATGATATGGTGTCGCCGGTATTTACCTATAGGACTGAAAAGAAAAATAAAGTTGGAGATTGACTTTCATTTGTAATCAAATTATTATATAGTAGCCAAAACGATAGAAATTTACAGTCAAACTTTAACTTCTGCCTCGGATGATCTGTTCTTTTTTTTACCAATGAGTGTTTGTGGTTGATCAGTTTAGGGCATTCACGCCTAATTTTAGTTGTGAGTAAGCTCAAACACTAGGCAAGTACAAAGGAAAGTGTTTTCTCATCTGTACTCGCCAGTTCGTCGTCATGCAGAAGCTGTCAAGCGAAGTGCACATGGGCTCGATAAAAGAATTTGGAACGTGACAACGATAATGAGTTATTAGGAGACTTTTGACGAAGCAGTCAGTGAAATTGTTGTCACTATAACTGAGGCAATGAAAAACTTAATCAACGTAGTTACTACAGTGTGAGTGAAAGACTGGATAGGACGGAGGGATAACTTGGGAACATCATCGACTAGGTTTCGTTTGCTCCCATGTCAATACCTATCTGACACATACTACACGATTCAAGCGAGAACGTGTTTAGATGACTACAGCTAGGAAGTAATAGTCTGTTCACATCCAAGGTATCTTATCTACTTACAGATAATTACACATGGTATTTACACTACTGTAATAGTAATTGCGGCACGGCAATTAGCATTACAGTAGTGTAAATACCATGTGTAATTATCTGTAAGTAGATAAGATACCTTGGATGTGAACAGACTATTACTTCCTAGCTGTAGTTATCTAAACACGTTCTCGCTTGAATCGTGTAGTATGTGTCAGAGAGGGTATTGACATGGGAGCAAACGAATCAAAGCGTAGACTCAAAAGAAGTATCCACAATCACAATGAACCTTCAAGCACTTAACACATCTGTCAATTTTATTGGAATGTTTGAATAAACAAATAACACGAAAAATTTTATTACATGCAATTTTTATGGAACGTCCGTCGCGTTAAGTCTCATAAAAACGGTGTTCAAATCAAATTAAGATCAACTGCAGCGCCCACGAAATCTAAATCTCAAGCCACGCGTGGCGCTTTGGCCTCATTCCCGAATTCCAAGAATGTGCGGTGGGCCACGCGATTCCTAATGAGAAGAGTGCTGGCAAGATGCCGAGGCTTCCTCAATTATTCATGAGATCTAGATTAAAATATCAAGCAGCGGCCCGGAAAAGATGATTACTGATGCTGCTGCTTAGCCGACCGCGACTGTATAACGATTCCTGTGAAGGAAAGTGCTGCAAGCAATTCATGTAAGAATAGTAGTAAGAATAATATGTTTGTTTACGTCACAGCGCTCGTTTAGTTTTGTTTTTGCATTCATTCTAAGATGAATAAATCACTGATGTTTTATTTGTGCATCGAATGTCGCTAATGTAATAAAAAATTACGCTTCAGGAAAAAAGAGTGCTCTAGGTTGGCTGTGGACATAAGTTATGATTTAATTTTTATATAAAGAGCAATGTCTCCATGTTATTTATTTCTAAAGAGGTGGACAAAAGTTATGATTGAATTTTTATTTAAAGAGCAATGTCTCCATGTTATTTATTTTTAAAGAGCAATGTCTCCAGAATGTCCGGTATCTCTTTTTGATGGCGGTAAAGAGTTAGGACTCTAGGTTTGCTGTGGACAAGAGTTACGATTTAATAATCTTACTTTTAAAGAGCAATGTCTCCAGAAATTCCGGTATCTCTTTTTGACGGGGGTAAAGAGTTAGGACTCTAGGTTTGCTGTGGACAAGAGTTACGATTTAATAATCTTACTTTTAAAGAGCAATGTCTCCAGAAATGTCCGGTATCTCTTTTTGACGGGGGTAAAGAGTTAGGAATATTTGGTAAATATTTGTCAAAGCGAGAGGCCAAACGCTGGCGAGTTGAAGTAGCGCTAGAGACTCTTGCTGCCCAGCGCCCGATATCGGCGACGCAATAAGAGGGTACGGCACTTACACGCAGTTTTTGAAATAACATTTCATTTCACTTCTGAGTTTATATTTAAAGTTTATAAATAAGGAACGCTTAATAAAGTTTTAAGGAGAATATTTCTGTTTGTTAATGACTTGATATAAAAATTAATGACGTGGAATATTTAAAAAAATAACGATATCTTCGCATCAGAATTCTTGGAGAGTTCTTGATTAAAAATTAATAATCATCACTGCAAAATTATTGTTTATATAAATTTATAAACTAATAGTTAAGAATCAACAAACAAAATCTCTCGAAAAAAAACTTAACTGTAATATGAGCATAATAATTAATTAATAAGAGGAAACTTGCAAGAAATGCACTAATGTAACATTGAATCGTTCAAATTTAATTTAATCAGAATTATAATAGCGGAGTATAGAAAACATGCCGACAGTCCCTCCATCGTCTCTGACTGACGACCGAATCAGCAGCGCTCTCATGCATCTCTAATGCGTCCATCAATCAATGCTTAATCAATGAGATCCAGAAAATTTAGTCAACAATGCACGATCATTCATCAGGATCCCAGACATGCTAAAATAGACCTATAAAGTCTCTAAAAATCTATCATCTCTTATTCTCTATCGAGTTTTCTCGAAAATATATCATTATTAATATGGTGACATATGCATTAAAACGAATGTAAATTGTTGGTGCACCATTATTATCTTAAGATGATAATTGTGAGATTATTTAGAAATTTTAACCACAGATTTGTTGTTCACAGGTATTATGTCGGTAACATTCCATGGTTAAATACTTATATCGCACCTTATTATGCAATACGGTCCTGAGAACGATCCCAGCCTTGCCTACAGAACGTAACACACTTTGAATAATCACGTAACGAACTTTTTTAGCAATCTTCGTTTGCTAAAAAAGTTTGCTTTTTCAAGCTCAAACGAAATAGGGAAAAGTTCCAATATAATATTTGATCGAGAAAGTCCCCACCAAGTTACTCAATTTCTATATTACGTAAAATAATTTATCGGCTTTGTTCGATTAGTGTATAATTTAATCACGATGTCTTATATTTTCTACGTGGCGAGTGTTGCACAGAAGTAGTGGGTGGTAGCAACGCGGGGCAGGGGAGACCGGTGGGGTGCAGCCATGTAGGGCTATCGATTCCAGAGGCGGCAGCTTGCACGGCACGATATGCTTAGCGAACATTTTAATGTAAAGCTTCCATTTAATTAGGAGCACAATATAAGGACTGTATGAAATCTTAGCATATAAAAATGTGTTGGACTGCATGAAATCTTGTCATATGAAAAAATGTCGCTAATGTTGAGCTTCCATTTAATTAAGAGCACAATGTAAGGACTGCATGAAATCTTATCATATAAAAAAGCGTTGCTAATGTTGAGCTTCCATTTAATTAAGAGCACAATGTAAGGACTGCATGAAATCTTATCATATAAAAAAAGTGTTGCTAATTTCGCCTCCCTATGCAATATCGTTTTCGGCGCCGTAAAATTATACACTGTGTGAATTTCCATGCAAAGTTAATCAATAAATAATGGCTTCAGCTCATACCTCTTCTTTGATTATTGCTAAACATCAATTCTATACACAAATTCATAACAAAAACTATATTTCGTCAATTTACTTTTATCCCATTTCCTTGACATCCAGCGATAAAATTCAAGACTTTCACAATATCCGATTTTGTCCTGCTCGATATCACTGAACAAATTTAAGAATATATAATGTTAAACAAAAGAACTCGATGCCTGTCTGTGAACATTGATTGTGCACAATCAACGTCCGTAGTCACGCATAGCTTTTATTGTTCGTGTTCATGCGTGTAAGCCTAAATTTATAAAGTTTTTCTCTTCGGATTGTGTGTATTGACACTTACTGCATGGATGAGGCATGGCTAATTGGCCATTCGAGATTTTCAAGACTTACGCTTCTTAGTATTTAATGTTTCAGTATATTAGCATAAGTCAAAAAAGATTTCTCTAACTGAAATGATAAATGTAGACAACTTCAGACAATTTCATATTCCATGATTCAAACAAAATAAGTTTGTTTATTAATAATTTCATTGCAGAAGAGTGAAAATTTTCAATGTTACAGACATCAACTAAGACTTTCACAAGTACAATAA